GATGCTGCGTCATGAATGAATGAAAATGAAACTGTCCAAGCCCAAAAATCCAGCAATCCGCAGCCTAAACATTCACGCTTGTCACAGGCCAATGTGACTGTTGGAATTTGTTCATTGCTGGCTTGACCGTTTTTGCTTGTCTCTCGAATTGGTGTGTGTGATGGGACCATCGCAACCTTCCAACTTGGAACCAGTAATTTGGCTGGGCTGGCGTGCAAGCCGCCTAGATTGGGCTGACAGAGCGCAGACGTCGCAGTAAGCTTCAGCCATCTCACCAAGTGTTTCTGTCAGACTAATGCTTTACTTGAGGTCTGCTGTGCATTTTTTTGCGTGACATGGTTGTGCGAAGCCGTTTCCAGACAATTTTTTTTTCCGTGATGGTTTGCAGTTTTCTTTTGTGGCTTTGCTTTCTTTTTGGATTTGTTGATTTCTTTCTCGGTTTGGTTATGGTTTTCATTTTGAACAGCTGTCCAAGAACCTTTGTACTTTCTTTTTGGTTTGTTGGCTTTTAGATTTTGGTTTGGAAACAATCTTGGTTTTCAGAGCTGTCCAAACAGACCATCCCGCAGAGATCATCCGAAAGAGAGTGTAGCTTCTCGAGTGGCAAATTAGTGTGGAGCATGTTCGTCTTTTTAGACTGCGGCCGGCACACGGAGTGGCAGCTGGTATGTCCGTCTTTTCTAAAAGCGTGGCATCTAGAGTGGTCGTGCTTGAGCCCGCCCTGATTTTCACAGATATGTTTTACGGACCACAACATGTTGGGTTGAAACCTTAAAAGGCCTTGGCCCACACCCAATTCCTAAACCTAAACCTCTAGTTGCTGTAAGCTTTTCCCTGGATCTTCCCATTCCCTAGACTCTTCTGATGTTGTAACCTCAAGAACCCTGCCCCACCCCAAACCCCTAGCCTGGACCCTTCTAATGTAAACCCCTAAGAACCCCGACCCACACCAGACCCCCCTTCCCTAAATCCGTTGTTCCTGAACCATTGACCCTTCTGATGCACCTCATTCCCTTACGAACCCCTGCCCCACGCCAAACCCTGATCCTCAACCTCTCGGACTGAACCCTTCAAATCACCTTATAACCTGCTCTCGTCAGTCAAACCTACACCCTGACTCACCCAAATCCCTGACCTGAACCGCTCGTTAGCAACCGTGGTTCTGATGCCTTTATAAAACTGTGAAAACCCTAGACAGTTGTTTGATATTTTTGAATCCACCTGATGGGCATTGAAAAAATTGCGGTTTGTAGGGTTTTGGGTTGAGATGCCAACGATTCCACAGCAATGATGCGCCTTCTTGACCCCACCCCCTGCCACAAATTCAATGGGATTCGATTTTCGATTTGTTTGAATTTTTCCAAGCTTAAACCTACATTTGTTTTCAGTTTTCTAAGCCAAAACCTAGACCAGAGACTCAAATGCTTCAACATGGATTTATTTTCTTTTTGCAATAGTAAGAGGCCAAAGATCCAAAAACAAATTGTTGTTTCTTTCGGTTTAAAAACGCTGCAACAGACTTCCTTCCTGTGTGTGACTAGCCGTTTGGAATCCTCAGTTCATGTTTATGACGATGATTCGTTCGCTGACAGAGAGGCTGGCATACGACGAGACGGGTGAAGTCCTCGGTGCAGCATGACATCAAAGACGTGATCGACGGAGCGGTCCGAGAAAACCATCATCTTTGAACCAAAAGGCAATTGCCGTGCTGATTGCTCTTAGTCCGTTTTGGAAGGTTCAAACGTTGCTTTCTTTGCATCGATGAAGTTCCACAAAGAAGTCCAAGTCTGCATGCCTCTAGTGGGGCAGGGCGCATGCAGAAGGGTCAGAGCAATCTGAGCGGGTTGGAAAAGAAGGATCACCGAGCGCTTGCTTTTTCGGTCACTGATCCAAAATATGATGGGAGTATCAAGTGTTCGGAATGTTTTGAAGGTAGACTGTTTTTTGTTTGTGTCTGGTTCTGATCAATAATACAAACACTGCACAAACAGTGCAAGTTGTACTTGATAGAGCAAATATTTGTCTTGTTTTTGCAACAAACTTGAGGGCGCGGTGGGTGGAAGTTTTGCAATGGTTCTTCGAGAAATTTTCACCAGCCCGCCCAGTCCCCTTGTTGGCGTGGCCCCAAGTGTTCGAGCTGGGCAATTGACCATGACTTCATGTCATCGGTTATTTGTTCTTCCGCCCGGAGCACAGGCAGAAAGGGTCAGAGACATGTGAGCGAGTCCCCGTTGAAAACGAAGGATATGACCGAGTGCTTGCTTTCCGTCATGTTTATCCATAGTATGATTTTGATTTTTCATGTTGGATGGTTTTGAAGACAGAATGTTTTTGTTTCGCGTCCGGTTTTGATCAAATAGGTGTTGTGTATTGTTTAGAGTCGCCTTCAAGGATTCGGTTTTGTGCTGCGATTTTAGTTTCATTCGGCAAATTCGAAATGCAATCTGACCGACTTTTGTGCTGCGTTTACATTGTGTGGTCCATGCAGAATAGGGAAATTTAGCGCATCGGCCGTGGCAGTGACAGGGGAGCGATTACCGATGCAAGGGCCCACTGCACAAGACTATCATAGTAGGTCGCGGAGTACTGTTCACGCCAGTCTTGCTCGAACGTCCAAGACCCATACGCTTAGGATTCAGTTCACACATCGTTCACGGTTTCATTGTCATACGAGACACGAACACTCGCACACGTGCAGCCGAACACCAAAGCCTTGAGTGAACATCAGTGATGTTGTTCGAACATAACCCAACAAGCAGGTGGTCTTGTTGCCTCCTTGTGTTGGCCTGACGCCAGGTGACATTTGAATGGGATTCCGCATGTGGGCTGTTGTGTATGCACACAAGGAAATCTTGCAATGAGTGACACGTGACGAGCTTGATAATTTTTGCCTCCTTCGATACGTTTTGTCAAGCAGGTGTCGGCATTATGGACAGCCCACCACCACAGAGAAAGGCCCCTGGAGCTGTTTCGACATGGCAGAATTTTTTGCCTGGAGATGCAACAAAGTTTACAAATATAAGTATGATCATCTGGGGTGCACGTTGAGGAAAACTTGCCATATTTGAAGGTTGTAAAACTGTTGGACATGTGAGCCTGTCGTGTTTCCGTGACCCTGAGGCGGCTGGCTTCGTCCCTCCACCGGGCCTTGGCTCCCCCGTGCAGGTTGGGGCTGCCGTAGTAGAAGCTCGTGTAGGTTGATAGATTCGACAGGAGGCGGCAGAAGCCATGCAACGACGCCCAGAGGCCATCCTGGGCCTTGTAGATATGGCGTTGACTGTGCCAAAGCCGTCCAAGGACATGGCTGGCGCAAATGTGCCCGGAAGAGGGCTGGACCAGGCTCCGTCGCTCTGAGTTGCGTTTTGCTGGCCATGGGCATGCTTGAAACATTTTGCAGCATTGACGGTTTTATTTTGGTAAGATCTGTGGAGCTAGTCAAGAACTCGCATGATATCGTATGACCGTCTTGTGGATAGGGAGGCCATCATGTCCGTCAAATTGTCAGAAGACGATATCTGAGACTGGTGGCAGGCTATGGCCGACTACGCTTTCCAAAACTTTCAGAACTGGACCGACCACATCTGTGAGTGTAATGTCTTACTCGCGCTCTTCGGTTTGACCTTGCTGCAAGGTTTTCTTCAACCACAACTTTGCAAGACTAGCTCTGAAGAAACGATTTTTCAATCCAGTGTGGTGGAGAGGCCTCAGTCCCTTAGGCTTGTTCCAGAAGGTCTTTGACAGATGTCACATGTCGTACGAGGAGCCCACCCAATGCAGGCAAGGGATCGGTGGGGGCCTCAGGGATGATGTTTTGTGCACGTTCAAAAAGCGAGGACGGGATTTAGATGCTTGGAGCAGAACCGTAGCAAGTATTGGGTTCCCCAAGCTTGGCACAGGCTGGCTACGGGAACAGAGCCATGCAGTTACCTCAGAGAGCACCTCCTTCTTCGTGGACGTTCTTAGCTTCAAGCCAGCCCGGTATTCTGCTTAAGGCCCGCCGGCCCTTCTCGTGCACCAGGGGCCCACCTTGCCAGGGCCAAAGTGGGACAACATGCCTCGGGGTCTGCGCGAGACTCGATTCCGTCTCGAGGCACCTCAGCCTGGCGCTGGCATGATGGCTGGCTCAGCTGGCTCAGGCTGGCAACCAGGGCTCCAGAAACACTGCTGCTGCTGGGCATGTCGTCGGAGGAAAGGGCAGCGCCGTGGCACAATCCGCCTTGCAGTCTCTGCAGATGTTCCAGGCACGGCAACTTGAAAACCGCTTGCTTTCACGCCAAAGATCTCTGTTTTTGGCACCGTTCCGTTTGTCATCGTTTACCGCAGGGCTCTGATGCCCGTGGGGCTGGAGCCTTGGGGACGGCGGAGGAGTGATGGGAAGGAGTTGTGGCATGCTGCCCAGGCGGAGGAGACCTCTGCGATGCAGTGCCGCGCCAAGCTGCCACCGGGTTTAGTCAGATTTTCAGATTTGGTCCAGATGTTGGCCGAGGCGAGCAGCAGCGGAGCAGCTACAGAAGCAGAGGCCGACGGAGAATGTCAGATTCTGCTGGCCCGAAGCCCGGAGCAGAGCGAGCACGTGCGGGCTGGTGCCAGGATGGCGGAAGCCAATCGCAACGACCCGGATGCACAGCGACCTGACCCGAACAACGCTTTGGCAACCATACGGAATGTCCAATTTGATCTTCGGTTTGGTTCTGAGGCGCTCAGCAGCCGAAAACGCAGCCCTGGAAAATGCGAGGAGGCTGCATGTGAGGTTGACAGGACTCTGTGCACCCAGTCGTTCTTTGTGCAGTGCGAGGTTAAAAAATTCTCCGCTGGTCCAAGATTTGGCGTTGAGAAACGTCTGACTCTCGATGTCGCTCAGGGTGTGGAGATGCCTTTGGAAACTGTTAAGTTCCACTTAGGCCAATGTGTCGAAAGGCCGGTCTGGACGTCTGCAGCGCAGGTAGTAAGTGTAAACTAGAGCATCGCATATCTTTTATTTGCATGAAAGTTTAAACAAACTGAGATTCCGTGAAGCACTGCTTGCTGGCAGGCAAAGAAGAAAAGCGCTGCCCGGCCAAATAGAAAGCAGTTTATCTTGGGAAGAAGTGCGCTGTGTTGTTTGCTTGTATTTGAGTTTGCTATCTGAGATGCGTGCTGCTGCAAGTTGGAACCTGTATAGTGGTGTTCAATTTGCTCCTGTGGCAACTGGCGCTTGGGAAGCGGACCTTGTCAACTCACCAAGATTGCTCTGCCACAAATCTGAGGCTACTCAGGAATCCTTAAGGCCAGCTGCGAGAGAGACGACTGTAGCGAATGGCCTTGAGCATGCGGCAGGGATGCTCCATCAATGAATACATCGGATGTAAGAGCACAGCCTATAACAGTCTAGCATCGTGAAGACTGGGGAGTCGAGTGAAAGCTCGACTTGTGCTTTGCAGTGTCTCGAGTGGGAGGTGTTCCGGCCAGAGCATGGCTGGGGATTTATCGAGAATCCAGCACCTGGGACGCGAAAATCAGTAAGAACAGGCAGGAACGTGCGATCAGAGCCGCTGCGAGTCTGTTGCAACCTGAGGAGCTGAAGAGCAAGTATGGCAGCTCCGGCTCTTCATTTAACATGCACATGGTCACAGGCTTGTCACATGTTCAATCCGACATCGCGGTGATATGCACTGACAGTGCTTGCGCCGTTTCTCAGCTTTTGGCTCGAGATCAGTTCCACGCACACGCACGTGTTGTGTCATGTTCTGAGTCGAAGCGCCGGGGACTTCATTGTGATCCGGCGAAGCTGGTCTGTCGAATCTCTACATCTAGCAATGGCTTCATCCTTGGAAGAGCCAGTCTGTAGTAGAGTTTGTTCAGTCTTACTAGGCTGATAAGACCCTAAAAGTCGCCAAGGTCATGTCCAGAGCCAGCATACACAGGTCGTTTTTAGAGCTCCAAGTGACGTCTTTCGCATGCATGGCAGACCCGTGCTGTGCGCTGAAGGTGCGGCTGCCATTACGTGATGCCAGCATTACTGGCACGTCTAGCTTTTCTCGGAGTTTTTAGTGTCTTTGCCACCTTGGAAGGTCGGACCTTGCAGCTGCGAGCTGTACCCGATTTGGGGTTGCTGTCGACCGCAATTCCAGGACAAGCAAAGCAAAGACTTGATTCATTCAGCATGGCGGTGCCTCTCATCTACAGCGAGAGAAGCTGCAGGAGGTGAACGATTCCGATGACCGTGCTGAGGCTGAGTGCCGACTAAGTTGTTTTATTCCCCTTCCGACGGGCTCTGCGATTCGTGTAGGACGTGACTGATGGAACACAGAGTCATGCACCTCAGGCAGGCCCATTTCCATTGCCAGCGGTGTTGAGTGTAAGTTGATGCTGTTTGGAAGCTAAGCTTGAGCAACACAGGGCCAGTCACCGATACTTCGCTATCGAGCGAGGAGCAAGGCACGGCTCTGCGACAGCAAGACAGCGGCTCGCCCTAAGGAGTGTTCGCCCCACCCTGTGCCAGGAGCCACATGCCATCAAGCTCTGCGGCTTAACAGCTCCCAGGCAGGATGGGATGTCGATCGCTTGTGTTCGCAGCTCTCTGTCTCTCCGTGTATGTCTGTCTGCGTGGGTGTGTGTGTGTGTGTGTGTGAGTGTTTGTGCGTGTTAGTGGGTGTGTCGGATACGAATAGCACTCAGCGAAACAAGGTAGTGAATCTTAGGCTTACTTCGACGATGCAGACTCTGATTGAAATCGGGCAGGCTTATTCAGGCGTTCGTGTGGCACGTGGCGAACATATCAGCAGTCGTCTTGGCATTATCGCATTGGTGCAGATCCTTTAAAACTTCAAAACCCCTCCGCGGAGCTTGACATGGCCCCGAGGTGAAGGCCGTGCAGGTTCGGCGAGTTGAGGCGTTGATCATCAGCCTGATCTTGGTGGCCTTAGGCAGGAGAGAGACCTAGGTAAGGAGCTGAGCGCAGCCTCTCCCACCGCAGGGGTCGTCCTAACGCTCGTTACGCTTGTCGGCGGCCTCTCTCGCGGGGTGCTGCTCGAACGCTTCGGCTGGACATTTGGCAGTGGCACTTGGGTTACAGACATCGCAAAGTGCAGTATAGGGCGAAGGCAAACTCATGCAAGCCAAACAGCCGAACCCGCATGTCTCTTCAGAGGATCACGCTGGCCAATGGCCCGGAGTTCCGCTACCTGGGCATGCGCTTCGCTTGCCTCTCCGAGGGCTCCTTGCGAAGCCCTGCATTTGCGGAACGTTGGTCAGGCTCGGCATTTGCTATCCGAAGCTTCTGCAAGAGTCGATCGCAAGGCAGTTCCAATGGAACCCACCTAAAAGGCACCAGCGCAGGCCTTGAGTGGTCGGAGTGGTCAACTGTGTCTGCGCGCAGGTAACCACGACCGATGTGTACCACTGATGCTTGGATGTCTCAGTCGACTTTGGCAGTGTTAGCTAGCGCGCTACCGCGCTGGACCACGACGGCCATGCCGGATTTCGGCGGTTCATCGACTCCGGAAATACCGGCCAGGCAAATCACATTGACATGGAAATCCCGAAGCCTTTTCTCGGGCAGCCAGAATCATAGGTTCCGAACCAATCGCTGCGGCTTAGCTCAGTCGTCATGTTATTGCGGAGAGGCTGTGCTGCCATAACTGGAACACAGCATGTTTATAATGTGAGTGGTTGCCAGTGGTTGCCAGACCTAGGAATGCTTTGGCTTGTCCTGTTGAAGAACAGCTAAGCTGCCCGGCCCGTCTGAATCGAGCATGCAGTGTGCAGATGAGTGAAGTCCATGTCGTGCGTTTCAGTGAGGATCCGAGAGATTCTCCAAAAGCGGGTTCTCCTTGCAGCTGGAAAGGGTCCAGTGCAGTGCATGCCGCAATGCCACAGCTGTACTGTTGCTGCCAATCCTCATCACCATGGAGCTTCGCTTGCAAGTTTGGGGCTTTCTGTGAGATGTCGGCCTGCGTATCAAAGACTGCTGAGGCGACCTATGTGAAACTAATTCAAGGAACAACCGCACGAGTCTAGGATGCATTGGCAAGTGTAGGAAAGTGACTGTTTAGCTGAAGCACCAGCCGTTCCAGGATTGATGTGGCGCGACACTGCCATCAACAAGGTTCTGCTGGTGCTCTCTGGGATTGTCGGAGGGATAGCGACGCTTGCTTGTCCGTGGCATTGTGTGCAAAGCCATAGCAAGCCCCCAAACTCCTGCAGACAGAAAGCAAAATGAAGCAACGGAAGATTGACCAGCTGTCTCAGCAAAATGGACTCTGGCGCAGTAAGGAACTTGGGCCTGATGGCAATTTACCATGGCACTTGCAGCTGGGCATTGAAAGGAATTTTCATGGTCTCGAACCGCGATGCGTCTGGGATGTCTGGTTACTCGTTTGTCAGGCAGTGCTAAGTTGTGAGTCAGTAGCGCACTTGCACCCGGCCTGGCCCGGCCTGGCCTGGCCTGGCCACTCTGAGGCATCACCACCTTACGCCGTGCAGAGCTTTTCCTGCAACCGGAGCTGGGCCCAGGCCAGGCAAGACGAGACGAGAGATCTTCGGAGCGTCAGAGCGGGCATTTTCGCCCACTCACGTCAAGATGTCGACGGGGAAGACTCCACCCCGCACTTGGATAAATCCGATTCCACTCCCATTGCAGGCTTCGGCTGTCTGCTACTGGCCACAGTCTGCAAGATGTGACCCGGCACATGGTTGCTATAATTTCTTCAGCTGGGTCGAGACCCCCCCCCGTGTGCGCGCGCGCGTGCGCGCGCGCGTGTCAGCATCATCAAAGATAGGAGAAGAGTCAAGGCTCGTTAGTACCCCATGCCGAGGCGAGCGCACAGAGTGGTTTTAGTTGTGGTCCCTTTGCTCGTCGATGGTCTCAGCATCTCGATCCAAGTTCTGCAGTGCCCTTGCGAGGCTGGCAGCCCTCCTGAACTTGTGCCTTGGACTTCATCGTCAGGAGATGGACACGCACCCGCACCCTGACGTCTGAGCTGCAGAAATTTCTACACAGTTAGGCGGTTTGGATCCTCATGCCTTGTGCACGTTCCACTGGATCAAAGCCCTGCTACGGGGCCTCGTGCTGCGTCTTGTCAGTGCAGCACGATGCCTTCCTTTTTATCTGCACAGGGTGCTGCCTTGTGCGGTTTTCCTGCATGTAACTCTCATCTAGGACCTAGGAGGTGTCTTGACGGGTGCATTCAAAGCATTGCCATGCCACCATTTCACAGATCGGCGTTTCGACCTGCTGCAAACATGACAGAGCAGGGTGCTGAGATTGGACGCGCATAGATCATGCACATCACAAATCCCTGCAATTTTGCAGGGCAAATTTCTCTCCCGCTCCTGTCCAGAATCCCTATTTACAAGTTTCAACATCCCGAAGATGGCAGGCCACGACGTTTTCCTGAACCAGGCTGTGGAAGGCGGCATCAAGCTGGGCAGCCTTGGCCAGCGTCTCGTGGGATTCGGCTCGTTCTGCCATGTCCGAGTCCCCATCCCAGCACGCACTGAGTCAGCTTCACCCTGGAGATGAGCAAGGACGGCAAACCCCAGGCACAGATAGCAGGGTCTCAGCTGGGATGTATGAGAAAGTTGTGCTTTGGAGTTTCTGCTGGTGCGATTGCAGGCGCGGAATGCCAGAATGGAGGTGGAATGCCGAGATGCTTTCGGATGCAGTGGGCTGCTGATCCCATCATCAGTGCGGCAAAGCCCAGGCCGAGAAAGTGGACAGACCGAAAACTTCAGCTCCAGGACGCTGAGGGCATCGTTAAGATTGGTCTGTGGCAGAGAGGGCTTCTCTTCGCCGTGTAGGCCGGTATTGTACTCGGAGATCAGACGAATTTCATGTGTGCGGTGACTGAAGGACAAGAAGCACGGGAGCTCGTTGGAAAGGCAGCTGGAAAAAAGAGCAGTCGGAGTGAACCAGAGGGATAACACCTTTACCTACTATGGTTTGAACATGTTTCAACGGTGTTTCCTTCGATGAGAAAGCGAGTGCACTATATCCAATCTTCTAGCATTTGTTTTCTCACGTTATGTTCTGGAGAATGCTCGTTTTGTCGAGCTGCATTGAAACTTACTTGTGTGCATGTTCTTTACAATATTGCTCTCACAGACATGTTGAGCCTCCCCAGGGTGAGGCGAATCTGCCTTGTCCCGCCCACCCTCACAAGTGGATCTTATGTCAAAAAGAGCCCCGCGCCATGGCCCTCCATAAGGAACTCCGTATGGGCCGGGGGCCGTCCCGCGGGTCATATGCTTGTTTTCAAAAAAAAAATATCGACCCCCTCAACCCACACTACTTCTATTTTTCGGCTTCGCCCTTCGATGACCGGGTGTTTCGCTTGCAGCGCACTGTTGAAACCTAGTAAATGAAGGCGTGTCTGTGACGAGACATATGTGAAGAGAGGGGGGCATCAGGGGACCGTGGCAGGTCCGTTGTCTCAGATTTCCGAGTGTCCAGACGGGGGCGAAAGTGTTTTTTGCTATCCGACACCCACCCTGTGCTTCTGACGAATCCAACGCAGATCCTTCCGGAAAGGCTTCAAGGGCTGCCTTACAAAGGTAGACTATATCAAACGCTCAGCCTTGAGTCGACCCCTGAGCACTGCCGCGGGGGGAGACCCAGACGCAGGCTTTCTGGGTTTAGGGTTCAGGATGTAAGGGTTTGGGGCATTTGAAGCTTGAGTTTTGTGCTTTTGGGTGTCAGGCTGTAGGGGCTGATGATAGTGTATGTCAGTGATTTTGCTTCTTAAGACCCCTCACGCTGCATGCACTTTAAATAAAGTCTATTTTGTAGGGCCGAAGATTTTAGGGCTTACGGTCGCCCGTCTCCCTTCATAAGTCGTAAGCCCTTGAATGCACTTCGGATGTTTATGTGACAAGTCAAGGTATCGGAGCGGGTAGGAGGCTGTTCTTCTTCGCTCCTTCCTTTTGCTTCTGTGTCCGTGCTCGATTTCAGATTCCACCAAGCAAAAGTGCAGTGTCTCCCACTCCCACTGGCTTAACTAGAAGCATGGCATTTTGCGACTTTCTCTTTCTTTCATCCTGTGCAGTCCAACCCTTCATAAGCTAAAGCCCATGCTCGGAGAAACACCACGGAGCTGAAATCGCACAGTTAAACTCAGGCATCGCATGGTGCGGTCACAAGCGAAGCTATACCGTCACTTCCCTCCCCGCAGGTTGGGTGTAGCGGTGCGGTGTACATACCTCTGTCTTGGGTGCCAGTTTCGTATCAACAGTTCCTCAAAGCAACTTCTTTCGCTCGTTCTGTATCCGTTATGACAGGCCAGGCTGCAAGTAATCTCCTCTCCTTAGAAGAAGGACAGCCCTGGGCAGGTCTTTAAGGGCCGAGTAAAGTCCTTCAACGCCACGAACGGCTTCGGCTTCCTCACATGCGAGGAGCTGAAAAGCAAGTTCGAGCCTCAGGGCGAGGGGATGGCTGGGGCATCTAAAGAGTAGAGCTTGTACTTCTGCTGACGGCACCGGATGGGACCACGGGACAGGTTCAATGGCCGAGATATTTACGTGAATCACACCCAGGCTGGCTGGGCCTTGTGGAAGAGAAGAAGTCAGACTGGAAACACGAACAGATAAAGACAGTCTGTGAATAGCTTGTGCAGTTGGCGGTCTAAGACTTCGAATCAGCCCTTCTGTCTACCCGAAAGCTCCCAAGTGTCCCGACCAGCCGAGCCCAACGGCCGTGCAGCTGCAGCTTGTGCTACCAGGGTTGCTTGGGACCTCGTAGTGTTTCGAAGAGCGTGGATGGTGTCTCTGTGTCAGGTGCCGGGCGGAGGACCGCTGATCTCAGGGCGGTGCTCTCGGCTCTCCTCAGCTCTCAGAGCTCTCAGAGCTCTCAGCTGTGTCAGCTGCGTGGTGGGTGTGCCGTATCGGTTTTTCTCGTTGAAGAACCAGGGAGCTGGGTGCCAGAGCCAGATTGCGTTTACACGACGTTCAAAGGTCGGAGCTGGTAGGGTGATGTTTTATGGAAATGCTGCATCCAGAACATGACGGGTGGACTGTGTAGCGTAAAAATCTTGGAGCACGAAGGTTTGTGCAAGGTTTTTATGATGCAGACAACATTTCCGCTTCCTGCCGAACCTGCTGTTGGTCCCGTCCAGACATTTATCACATCTACACAAACCGCCGATGTTCACGAAACTGCGGTCGTACATCCAATTCTGTTTCCTTTTGTCTCATCCAGCTTGCGGGTCTTGAAGCGAGCAGGTTTTGGGAACGTGTGAGATCGAAGTAATTATGACCTCTGAAAAACAGTGTCATCATTCAAGCAGCTGATGTTCCCGCTCTGGTGACCGAGGCATGAGTACGAGTTTAAGCTTTTTGTCAACCCTCAGATGCTGCGATCTCAGTTGACCCTTGATGACTATGTCCTGCCTTTCATCATATCAAGCAGCTCCAGACCCTAGATGCCGTAGCCAACAGTGAGAGCATCTCCTGATGCAGCTCGACATGTTCGTCTCGCCCTGATCTCCCAACGTGTCGAACCGTTGGCAATTTATTTGTGGAAGGCTTCGTGAGAGTCATGGCTTTCATTGTCGCTCATTCTGGTGCAACTGTGTGGCTGTGTGGCAGCTTTTCGTTGCCCCCTGCATCCCCGTTTCATGGCGGGGAGGCGTGAGAGACTTAGGCAGCCTCAGGGCAGGGAGCTCAAGTCCTTGCAACGTATTGAGGATTACAGCAGCCTGACACTCAGTGCTGTGCCGAAGTGTCGCAATTACTCCTTTGCAGCAGGTGCGTTGTTGATGTCACCATGTGCTGACGATCTGTCAGAACTCAGGTCTCGGGGAACTTCCCACGGCTCAAAGCGTTGGCCAGGAGCTCGGACGGACCCGAGCACCAGGTCATGAATTCTTCAAGAGGCTCAACAGACTATCTCTCTCTCTCTGAAGCTATCGCTAGTGGCCGCTAGCGGCCAGTGAAGCTTCTGTGACCTTGGCGAAGACCTGAACGCAGAGTCGAAGTCCGGGGCATCTAAGGCGAGAAACTGCTCGTGAGCTGAGTGATCTTTCGTAGAGTGCTGGCATATGGCTGTTGTTTAGCAAGCTGGCCCGGTTGCGACAATACTTGTTTTTGCCTTTGGAGCAGCACAGCTTGCACTCTGAACTCGCCAGTTAACTGAAGAGTGCTGTATGGGTCTGCCCGTTGCCCAATTTGTTCCGATCCTAAACACCAAGAGCACGAAGGGCAGGGAGTCCCAGCACAGAGTTTTAAGCTTGAGCGACCTCCCCGGCCATCTCCGGTGGGGTCAAGGCTCCTCCCTCGGTCCACGCGTAGGACGCAGCCTTGCATTGGCTGCGTGTGGCTGAGGGCTAATGGATATGCTCATCGCAGCAATCCTAGCAAAGTCGGGGCTGGGCTTGCGCACTTCTTGCAGCTTCATGATCCACAGTTTCTTCGCAGCTCCAGCGGAAGTGCGGAACTTGCCCCCTGCACCGACAGGAAGGTGATTCGCGCTTAAGACAGCGTTGTACTTGCGACCTCTGCCGCCCTTCTGTTGCATCGGCAATGCAGTCGTTTACGTGCATAGACAGCGTGTGTGTCAATCGGACATGGTCAACTTAAGAGGTCCTTCCCCCCCGTTGATCCAAAATTGGATGAAGGAGACTAGAATGATCGAGTCATGGTGCTGTGGCACGAAGCCTTCCTGTTGCAACAGGCCGCTGTCCATAAATGCACATCCAGGAACCACCTCTCAGAACGGAGTGCAACCGTGACTGGGATGACATCAGGGTATGTCGATCTGAGAGATGGCAGATGTTTACAAGACCAGCACGCATACGGAGCACACACAGCCACAAACGGTTCATGAAGTGACTTCATGCCTAGTGTGCTGCTCTGTGCACATTTGCTACTTCGGCTTGGCAGCTTGCAGGTTGAATACGTCCAACTGAGCCAACTGTAGATGTAGAGTAACTGACTCATGAGTGGCCTGCTCAGGTTTCAGTTCTAGCCATTGCGTGGTGAATACAGCAGAAACCACAAGGACTGTTCACCAGTAGAGGAAGCCGTGCCAGTATACAGCATACCGTTTGCGACGCAGCCTTGAAAAACTCTTGGGTCCTTGGGGCTTTGTGCCAGATCTTGGCAGCATGTCCACGAGCATCTGTGTGAGCGATGGCAGCGTGAGCCAGCCACAGCCAGGCAGGGAGCCCGGTTACAAAGGGAAGAAGGCCACGGTGCTGAAGCAAATCTGGGCCGTTACCACAGGCTTGGAAAAGAAGCGCATGCCCCAGATGCTCCCAGAATCTCAGCTTCGGTTTGACCCAGCGGGGCACAGGTCGCGTTGGAGAAAGGACAGGAGAGAGGCGGAAGCAAGCCAGGCAGGGAACGGCGGGAGAGTCGGGATCTGCAGTGCGCAGCTTGACAGGCGCAGGCCACAAAGCCGGCGCCAGGACTGCCGCCATCCCTGACAACGCCAGCTGCAGCCTCTAACCAGGCAGCAGCACAAGCGTCTGCATCTCAGCTGCCATTTTGCCGTTCTTAAAAATAGTCTGAACTTCTGGACAAGCCACATGGCCGGGCAATGAAGGTTCCGGGGGCTCCACGGCCGGAAGTCGAACTTCAAGCTGGTGGAGAGTGCCGTAGACAGGGTCTATTCTTCAGTGCTGGATGGCAATGCGCACTACTACAAGGATCGCTCATGGGGAAAACTTGGCTGATGCTCGGGTGCAGTGGCTTTCGTTATTTAGCTATGTGCGTCCCACAGCTCAAGCATTGCTCGGGATGTGTGAGTTGCTTAGTTTCCAGCGCGATGGAACCCACCGGCAGGCGCTCGTGGCTGATCCGGCTGACTTCTCTACCTACCAGGTCGGGCTGGTCCGATCGGGTCTCTCACATCTGGCTGCTGTACGAAGTTATGATGGGTGATGCGAAGGCCCTATACTCCGAGCTGGAGTACAAGCTCTGGGCTGAGGAAGCTGCACCGGGTGTACGTTGGGCTGCACGTTGTCACCTGTGACTGCACCACCACCAAAAGGAAACGAAAGGGACAGGTGGCTACGGTGCAATAGGTAGGAGGCCTTGGAGGGCACAGCAGACACCTTAAGTCGGCTATAATTACGATGTTCCTCTCGAGTCTCGAGGCCTGCATGGATGAGTGGTGGCCTCGCCTTGCACAGGACTGCTTGCCTTTTGCAAGTCTGCCCACCAGAATCGGATGTCCATGCAGGCCCACTGCTCTGGGCTCCGAGTCGCAGCGCAGCCGTCACTGATTACGACTTTGCACATAGCTGCAGGGAGTGTAGTATTGCTGCGTCTTCGAAGCTTCTGATTCTTGATCCAAACCCCTCCAAACTCCTTGCGACCTCAGACACACTGTAAAGACAGCCAGGTTGCGTCAGTCACCTACTTACGAACGCATTGTGCGTTTCTTGGCCGGCTACTTCGGGGTGGAGCCGATCCGGTGCACGGCTGAGTCAACAGCCAGAGATGCACGGAAGTTAGATCTTGAGTCGCACAGCCTTATACAGATCCAACACAGTATAAACGAAGTGTGAGAGTGCTAGAGCAATGCACCCCCTATCTATAACTCTGCAGAGTTTGATTGAAAACGTCGTTGCGCATGTGCCACGGATCAACCCCACAGCAGAGCTTCGGGTTGGGTGTTCGGACCTCGACGTTACGTGCTGTGCCATCCGGAAAAGGAGGTAGCACTTCGGCTCGAAGCAATTCCATCATCGCTCCCACGACGCGCAAGCGCTGTTGACTCTTTTCGCTTTTGCGACTTGAGTGGGATCGCCTGGTCTTTGTCCATGCTTGCAGTCCTACGTGGCACCATGGGCATGCAGCTAGCCCTGCAATTTGCCAAGCAAAAACGAACTAGGTGTAGAGCTGGGCCCCAGATGCAAGCGGACGTTTAAGGCTTATCGGGCTTACTGTGACGGTTTTTTCTTTCGGAAGCTCTGGGTGAAAGAATTTTTGGGCTTCGTTCCAGGAACGACTGCGATCTCCAACCACGAGGATTGACAGATAGAGCTGAGCACTGAATGTATGCATCTTGAATTTTCGCTCGAATGCCTTTAGGTGAAGTCGTGTCTGGTGTCCTGACCCTTCTGGTTCAGGGCTCGGCTTCAGGGTGGTTTGGGCTAAGCTGCCCCGGGCATTGTGCCGGTGCCCTGGCCTTTACCTTGTCCCTCCTCTTTGGAGGCTTCTGTGCCGGGCTGTGCAAAATCAGGCCCGATTCGCCCTGGGTGGTGGTTAGTGACCCTAATCCCACCCCTAGAGCTACTACCTCGGCCGAGGCCCCTCCCCCTAGTGGTGGTGGTTCTAACCTTGCCAGTCCTCTGCGTCGCTCGGACATCCGAGCCTCCTTCCCTCCTTGCCCGGACCACTGCCTTGACCTGTGTGCTCCCCTGGCTGCTGTGGGCAGTTTCAGTGCAACTGACCGTGCAAAGCGTGCTTGGACTGCTGGACTTTGGGCAAAAGAGGGCCTCCTTGGTACCGTTGTCACGCCTGACCCCTCTCCGGTCATCGGCCTTCGCCCTTGTGTGTATATTGTGCTGCGCAGCGACCGCTTGCCTGGTCCCGCGCGTTACTCCTCCTTCGGGGCTCTTCGTGCTGCAGTTGGCCCGCTCGAGGGCACCTCCACTGTCTGCCACAGCTTTCCCTGCCTTGCGGAGGCCCGAGTCTTCTCTATTGCCGCTGAGGTTTCCTTTCCGCCGGCGCGATGAATATCGAGGCTTTGCGTGTGGATGGCGAGTCTGCCGGGGCCCTTTGCAATTTGAAGTGGCCTCCTGTCCAAGACTCGCCCGAGCGAGTGCTGCACCTTGCCTGGCCCCTGCTTCGCCGCCCGGGTGCCTTCTTAGTTGCTCTGCCTGCTTCCCTCCTGGAGGACGTCTCCCTCTACTCTGCAAGCGAGACCAGCACTGTCGTGGGACCTTTTGGAACTGTGTCGGTGCCAGCCGTCGAGGAAGGAGACACAGGGGAGGATGCTTTGGCTGGCTTCGACCTGTCGGTTCTGCTCGTGGACTTGGAAGAGTCCTTCCTCGCCGTTATGAGCCCTTCCGACCTTGTGACGGAGTCGGGCCTGGTTGTTGGCTACGAGCCCAGTGCACCACAGGTACTACCATCTCCGGAGGAGCTGATGAAAGCTGCCCTCACGTGGGTGGGGAGCGACCCGGCCCCAGGCTTGGCTTATGTTACGGCCCAAGAGGAATCGGATGGTGTCCCGGAGCCCCCTGGCAAGAAGGTGACCAAGGCGAAGCGCATCACAACCGCGCAGCTGGCCGAGCAAGTGAACCAACTTGCCTCGGTTCTTCCCAACCTTGTGGAACAGGTACGGCTTGTCTCAGAGAGACAGGCTGCTCAGGCACAGGCTCCTCCCGCTCCTGCTGGGCCGGCTCATCAAAGGAACTTCCCGCCAGTGGACCACGATGCGAACAACGGCGCGCAGGCGCTTTCCTCCCTTGCTGCGGCCCTTCCGGCCCCCGCCCGCCTAGGAGCCACTGCCAAAGCTCCCGCCTTGACTCCAGTGCAGCCTCCAGTTGTGGACCCAAAGTCGTCTGCCTTGCCCTCCTCGTCGGATCCTTTGGCAACTGCGATTGCCCAGCAGGGCCAGGCCTTGAGCCTCCTCGTGTCCCACCTGGCCTCTCAGGGGGAGGCCCTGGACCTGTCCACAGCAACGGTCAACCTCGGTTCCAAAGGCTCTGCGAAACGGGAGTCTGCCAGAATGCCTTCCGCCGCCTTTTCCCTGCAGCAGCCGTCCCGGCTTCCCTCCCGGACTTCCAAGCCGATGGCCGCCTCAGTTTCGTGACTTATCTGGAACGCTTTGGAGGCTACAGCCAAAGCCGAGACCTCGCCCTTGTGATGCACCAGCTGGCCTTTGTGTCAGATTGCCTCCTTCAGGACGACGTGTCTGGTGCTCGCGAGCACTTGGCTCTTCTCTTGGCCTGGACAGAGGAGGCGACTCAGGATCGCAACTGGAGCTTCGCCTACCTTTTGTGCTTGCTGGACGAGCCCGCGCCCCAGGTGCATGCTTCACGAGCCCAGGGGGCTGCCAGAACCGCTTCAAGAAGCTGATGCTCGCCCTCCACCTCGCTCCCTCCGTGCAGGAGGGGCTACCTGGCTAATGGAAGCTACGGAGAGCCCTGATTATGTCCGTCGACGAGGCCGGTGGATCACCACCAAGGTGATGGAGATATATGTTCAGGAGGTTGCGGCCCTGACTTTTGTCTTCCTCTTCTTCCTCGAGCCGTTAAGCAGCATATCTTCGCCTGGGCAGGGACGTTTGCTGCTGTTGTTGACAAAGCAGAAGTGTGGCGCAGCTTCTGCTTGCCTCCGGCTACGTGGGGAGTTTTGACGGCTCACGGCGCTTGATGCATGTTCAGTGCGGAAACTTTGAGGAAACTCTTGAGGACGTCAGTACGGTATGGGGGTGGCCGCTACGGTTATCCGATTTACTTGTGCAACCTTGCAGCAGATGCAGAAAAGAGGTGTGATACTCTGACAGATAGAGTTGAGCACTGAATGTATGCATCTTGAGTTTTCGCTCTCCCGCCCACCGCGCCCAGCGCCTGTGGCCGCTACGGTTATCCGTTTTACTTGTGCAACCTTGCAGCAGATGCAGAAAAGAGGTGTGATACTCTGTGGAGAAGTCTTTGGCGAAGCTATGGGGATACCTGTGACCCCGGAAAAAAGTGGCCGTGCTGCGTTCTGTTTCGTGCGAGCCTTCTGCACGAAGCTGTGGTCTTCGAACTGCATTACTGTTACAGACCCTAGAAGAAGCCACGACGCCTTTCTGGCCATCGGGACATGTTGCAGCGCGTTAGGGGCAGAGACAGGCCCGAGTCTAATGATAGGCCGATCCACGATGCATGAGGCTGAGGGATAGTATGGGCACTCGGTGATTGTTTGGGGGCATTGGGCCTGCCAATTGCCAAGGTCTCTGGTGAACCACTACAGATCTGGGGAGGACCTTGTCCCTTTGCCCCTTTGATTTGGTGTCGACTTGTGAATGCTTAACCACTTCAAGCCAGAATCTTACAGGGGCCCAGAAGCATAATGGAGCAGATTAGACTTGAGACCAGGCAGCCTTCGATACCTTCTGTTGACCCTCTTACTTCTATCAGATGGCGATGGATGCATCACGACAGGATTTCACTTCTTTCCACTCAGATCAGTACTTCTCCGGGGTGAACATGACCATCGGGGCTTCATTCGGTGAGGAGCGACGCTCGCACCATGCTGCTGACGCCTAACTGTGCCCTCAGCTGTCTTCTGTTTTCGCTCCCCTTCCAGGAGCGTGCACTGGTTTTCGAGCATCGCGAGACCAAAGAGCAGCCGGCGACCCAGGGCCGACTTAGCGCGGCTTCGGCCGGAGGCGGCTCTATGACTTCCCTCGATAGGTTCAGCTTTCCGCAGCACAACGGCGATGTCTTTGCCTTCACAGACTCCGTGAACCGCCAGTTCGTCCACGGGGTGCCGCGAGAGCCCCTCGGCCAAAAGGGCCCTCGGATCCTTACTTGAAATGGAGGGAGTGTGAGACTCCTTTCGTCCGAGGCGCCGCGCCCGCTCCACGGGGGCCTGTGGCCACACCCCTGGCCGCAGCTCGTCCGCAGAGTCGGGGGCGGTTCGGGTAGCTGGGCTATCCTGAGCTCAGGCATCTCTGTCATCGTGTGGGGACGCAAGGATCAGGACTGCCCGGCCGGCCCGGGGCACAAATGTCAAGGCTGAAGCATCTTTCGGTTTCCGTAGGAGCTTTGGAAGACCAGGGCCCAGACCTTGCCACTTACTTTGCAACCCCTCAACGTGCTGGAGTGGTACCCTGAGCTTCGCGTCAGCAACGCATGCGTCTCGGCGAGCGCCGGCGCTGTCGGTGAGATCCGCTAAGGAACGATCCGAGCAAGGAGGCGAGCTTGGACGAGGCCAACAGGCCCGGGGGGCAGAGGGCAGAGGGGAAGAGTCGGGAAGAGGGCCTCCGTTTGAGCCGTTGGGGGGATCGCAGACGCGCAGACCGAGGCCGGAAACTGCAGGGAAGGACACGTCGCCCGACCACGATGGGCTTGCGAGGCCACCCCGTTTTGATGTTTTTCATCATGTTGGAGACTGCAACGGTATCAACTACTGCCCTTCGGTATCCCTCCAATCCGACAACGACCCGAACGGGCTCACTTTCAGACTCCGGCTTGACGTGGACGAGAGGTGCACCCTGACAGGACTGCAAGCCCAAGAGGAAGAGCGTTGGAACAGACTGACACGAGACCGGCGAGGTGGAAGACGCTGGCTCGGATCTTGGCATCTCTTTTTGTGACGTGGGCAGCCCGGAACACGGGACAGAGCCTGAGGCTAAGAGCCCAATGCACGGCTACTGAAAGTTCTGAAAGGCTACGGAGCAGTCATAAGCTTCCTGATGCAATCGCCGTCCTTTGCCTCCATCACAGTTGGATCTAGTTACCACGAGTGTTCCTCCCTGCGAAGCTGTACAGTCGTCTCTGCGATCCTGCAGTTCGGTAGAACAGGGTGCAGTCCCCACGACTCGCTTCGCATCTGGGGTTGAGTTGACCGAGTTGCCCGACGGCCCTGCGCCCTGGACCTGCGAGGTGAGCCTTCAGCTTTCAGAGTAGGTCGGCGAACAGTTTTCAACACTACTGGTACTAGGCCTACTAGGCGTTCTGGGCCAGGTCAGCCCTGCTAGGAGCGTGGCGAAGATCATCAGATCTGATATGTACAGGGTGGCTCTGTGCTGGAATCGCAAAAGTAAGCTGTGCTTTTCCCCGGCTGGGCGGCCTTTCCGATAGCATGACACGATGTCACCGTGATGCTCCGCTTTTTTGTGCAGCTTGGGCACGAGACCCTGTATAGTGCAACACTTGTTTTCCAAAGCGCGCAAGGCTCAGTCTCTGGATTTGCCTGTTTGCCTGGTGAGAGGTAATGCAACGTGATTTTGCCGAGGTTCACTGGCCCAGATTGTGGCATGCCGCTTGCCTCCGCCGTGGCGTGCGGCACAAATCAATTACAGACACGCCAGCAGGATTCGTTGCAGGACCGTGCTCCTGCTTAGGATTTGATCCCAATGTTCCCCTTTGCTCAGCAGCCTCGAACCGCTAAAGCTGCAGCTCTTCGAGAATTGCCCTAGCCAATCTCTGGCACGATCTGTCCTGTACAGGCTATCGTGAACAAACATGTGCAGGACCCTGCCTGCACCTCAAGTGGGTTGTTCTTTTGCGACTCCAGCGAAGGCGCTAGGATTTGTGTCTTCCTTTGCTGGCTCGCATGGCTTCGAACAGTCAGTGCGAGATTCTACAACCGAAACAGGTCCAGAAACATGCATGAGCCAAGGAATGACTCGCAAGTCAACTAGTTGTTTTACCAGGATGGACCCGGTAGATGAACTGCTACAATCCACGACACGTGAAGTCCATAGTGTCACAGGAATCCCGGCTGCTTTCAACATCAGTCATCAGTCTTACCAGCAGCAGGAACGCGCTTCTCATGCTGTTGCTTCGAGAAAGCAATGTTCCTCGCCCCTTAGACTCTCGAAGCTCCGCGCCTCACAGCCTGAACCAAAAAACCTTGATGTCAAAGCCGGCGAAGCTCCCAGGCTCTACGAGAGCTCAACAGCAGCCAGACGTCTACAGAGCGGGGTGTCCAGCGCTGGGAGCAGGAGAGATTGGAGACGGTCTTTAGGATTTCGGATTTCGGGCCTCGGCTCCGTGAAAGGCCCACCTTGTTTCTGCCCTGGACGTCATCAACGACTACCAGCGGTCTCGGCGTGCGCGAGTCTTCAAGGCACTGGCCGACAGCTTAGTGGGCTGCCACACACTTTCTTGCGTTCACTCTGCGTTCAAGCTCAGGACGTAACTTAGTTGTTCGTTCGCGGTGGCCCGATGAAGTGGGCTCGCACTTCACCTGCCTGGTCGGATACAGGCTAGATAGAAGTCATGCCGCTTTTGAAGTTCTGCTTTGAAGACCTGCAGACGAGTACTTCATGTCGCTGCTAACGGTCCGATTCTGCTTGTCACCATGCACGTTCCAGTGCAAGGGTAGCTGCATGTGTGCCAAGGGGGATTTTGGCCCTAGTTGGAGGCGATCCTACAAGAACGACCCCAGGACTTTTGAGCCTGCTTTAATGTCTGGATTGTTCGCACTAGGACAAATTTACATTGTCCTTCAAGAAGCAGAGTTCAAAGGTGTTCAGGGCATTTTATGAAGGACCCGGATGTGTGAGCTTCTGAAAAGCTGGCTCCGGGCGAATGCTGCGAGCAGCTCACTGGCGGAGGAAGAGGCAAGGGCGAATCTGTTGGGTTGAAGCGTAACACTGGGTGGAAACATGCTAACGGACCTATGTGCTTTTAATTCTCTCCAGGTGCGAAGCATGTGTGGACTTTGCCGTGACATTCTCAGCCATCCGCACCTTTTCCCAGCTGGGAGCCCAGAAACATCTAGTCTTAGATCCATGAAACGACACCTCAGCCTCTGTTTTTCTCGGCACTCATGCTCTGCAGAGGCTCGCAATCCCCAGAGTTTCTTGAAGAGTACGGCGGACGTGGGCCTTTCAAGTCTTGGCCATGTCAAGGTAGCAGCGTAGCGTCATATAGCATCTCAGAATTTCACAGTCCATTCGCGTTTTTTGATTCTACATTTGCCAGGTGTATGACCACCTGCAGTGGCAGTTGCAAGAGGCAAGTGCTTCCGTGGCTTTTTTGTCTTCATTCACGGCGGGGGATGTCGCCTGGAAGGTCTTGGAAAAGGATCGGAGCTGTGCAGAGCTAGCGGCATCCTGAGCCCAGCAGCGACAGCAGCGACCTGCCCAGGTTTTTTGAGAGCTTGAGCCGAGGCACAGCGGCTCATCTCGCTCAGTCGCAATCTTGTCGCAGACACCGTCTCGTATCTTCTGCTGCTTTGCCTCATTCCATCGTGAACTCTGAAGGCTTGAAGTTTATAGACTTATTGGCTTCACGCAGACTGCAACTCTCGAGGCTTGCTCCTACAGACCTGAAGGACACCGATGTGCGAAGCTTGGCTTGTCTCCACAGAGATTCCGATGCGACCATGTGCATCAAGCGTTGACATGGGCTGAAGTTGTGGAGCAATTAAGCGTGTGGTTCGCAGGCCTGAGCTAGATGTGCCGCGTGTTTGAGGAGTGCGGAGCACCCTTTGGCACCATGGAAGCAGACTTTCACTAGGGGAAGGAGAGCAGGAAGTGTGGAAGTCTGCGCCCAGGCACCTGTGCCAGCTTCCACATGCTTGGATTCAGGTTGCTGCACCGATGCAAGCCAAAGTTCAGGACCAGACGGTGCTGTGCCAGCGAGGTGGAAAGGTTTGCGGCAAAGAAGCCACGGCCTGTGAGCCTTCACAGCTGCCTGCACGAGTTCGCTCGTCCAGCAGAACTGGCAGCCTTTCTACACGATGAGATCCCTGTGCGTTTCGCGGAGAGGATCCGATGGATAGAACAGGTGCCAGAGTGGAAAGAGATTCCGGAACTGGTCGACGCCCATCTGAAGCACATGGCCTCGTTCTCTTACATGCGCAAGGCTGATCCCAAAGAGCCCGTGAAGTTCCAGGGTTCCCTTCAGAGGATTCTGAAGCGCCAGGACAACATGGTGGAATTAATGTCGCATGCCATGCAGAGGCTTCGCTCGGTTCGTGGAGGCGAGGACTTCGACGGTTTTTCCAATAAGTTCCTTGACAACTTTCTGCTGAATCGTCTTGGCTGCAACTTGCTCATGACACACTATTTGGCTATCGCACACCCTGGGCGCCACACGATCGGAATAATTGATCCACAGTGTGATGCGGTGGAAGTTTGCAGGGAAGCTGCCCAGGACGTGCAAAACGCCTGTCGCGACTTCCTTGGTCGTGCGCCGCCACTGCAGGTGCAGGGCTTCTCGCAGGGAGCACCGACGGCCGGCTTTGCTCCTCGTTTTGCCTACATCCCCGGAATCCTCAGCTTCATCGTGCGCGAATTGCTGAAGAACAGCTTCCGTGCCACGCTGGATTTGGAAACTGACCTGGCCGACCTGGAGAACCGTCCCGTCCAAATCATTGTCTGTGCTGATGAGGACCACGTTATGATCCGCATCAGTGACCGGGCGCAGGGCATTCCGATCGATGTTGGCACTCGGGTGTGGTCGTACATGTATACGACCTCAAAGAAAGCTTCCCCATTGAGTGGCTACGGAGTCGGTCTTCCACTAAGTCGGCTCCATGCGAGGTACCTGGGCGGTTCTCTCCAGCTGGTGTCTCTGCCGGGCTTCGGCACGGATGCCTACCTGAGCCTGCCTCGTGTGGACACTCAGATGGTGGAGGTCGTGCCGGACTGTGATGCACATGAGTCTGTCGAGTATTCATTTACCGTTTGAGTATGCCCAGTTCAGATGGAGCCGTCGCTGGTGCAGTCGACATATGCCAGTGTTTACAGGAAGGGCACAGCAGTCCTTGACCTGATGCTGTACAATTCACCTCCTTTCGCCGGAGGTGAAATTGCTTCTCCAGCGTGCACGCACGCAACCACTCGAGCCGGCAAAGCCATTGCCAAAAGTTGGTTTATGTAGGTGCTGAGCAGTTGATATCGCTTGAGATGTAAAGGCTGAAGGTGATGGATTGTACATTTCCCGGCTTGTCACATTCAGAACTTTCTACAGCAGACTAAACCCAGACCCTTCTGCCCGAACTCGTGGCCCATCGCTGTTCAGGGGCTGCCGTCTTTGGAGGCCGGGCTCTTTGGGCTATGCATCTGCTGGATGCAGTCATAAGTGAAGTCATTCACATAAGCGGGCCTTTCCTGTCGTCGCAGTCCTTCAGCATTGTTCTTCCGACGAAGATAGATGAGATGTTCAGCATAGCATGAACGTGCCAAAAGTTCAGATCGACAATCGCGAGGTGGTCAAACTCTGGCAATCCCTTCCAGATGCGGGCCATCCGATGCTCGCGTCTCAGTTCGACCGGCTGGTCTTTTGAAGCCTCGTGAAGCTGTTCCTTGTGTGCAAGCGCGACCTTTTCCGTCTAACCTCTGCTATCCAGCAGCTGCTTCCTTGAAACATCGGAAGACTTGGCGGATCGAAAGAAGGCAGAAGCGAGGGGCAACCAGGGTCGCATCGCGATGACAACCATCCCGTCGAAAATCACAGCATTGGCGAAGTACACTGCATGTGTCCTCACCTACAGGCCGAATCGCAAAGATCCTGGTTTGCAGAAGTTGATGTCTGAGGCTGTGGAGTATCCATGGAGGGCATGGAGGGTTCATGACGGGCCTGCTCCACGTCTGCGTGATAGGCCTGGAGCACACGCTGCGGTGCCCTTGTTGCTGCACTTCTGCGAGCACCTTGGCCCGCCTCTCAGCATCCAGCAGAATGGTGCAGCTTCCGATGCTCAAACTTGGAGGGAGGAGTTGGAACCTGGAGAATCCTGGAGACACCTTTTTGACCGTGATTTTCGCGAAACTGGGAATGGATGTAGCAGAACGGTAGTGCGAGAAACGGCAACATATGTACCGTGTTGGCATTCCGACCTTTTTGCTCCTCACGGCAGTGTGTTTGACATCAGCCACTGTTTTTAGTGTCTTTACGTAGCTTCGTAGGATTTGGTGCCTCCGCCATCTAGCCCCTTGCACAGAGCTGTGGGTGTGTTCGCGGATCGGTCAACATAGCCAGTAGGCAAGACGAGATAGGCTCGTTAAACCACCAGCACCACCAGCACTGCCAGCACCACCAACACCACCAGCACTGGCACCAGCACCACTAGCACCACTAGCACCACTAGCACTGGCACCAGGAACACTACCACCAGCATCTGTGGCACCAACCAGAAACTTTGGCTGGCAGCACTGCTTGCAACAAATCTCGCATGCACTGCGATGAGCGTGTTGACCTCCAAACATCACTCGCAAGCTAGCATTATGGTTTATGTTGCCGTGTTGCTACGAACTTGTGAATGGCAAAACCGACACGCCATGACTCTAGATGATGCTAGCCAGGTGTATTCGTTTGTTCGCGGGAGCGGACGCCGAGAACACTGCCAGACTCGCCGCCCTAGAGAATGGAGATGGAGAGGTTGGGTTTGCTTTGCTTTTCCGTTGTGAGCCACGGTTTGGTTTGGCAAAAGCAATTTGAAGTGAGTTCACGGCCGTCAGGCGGCAGAGACTCCGACGGCCTCACTGCAGGTCCTGCTTCGACAGGCAGGTCGACAGCATTCGCAGCTTCTGTTTCTTTTGCAACATTGCAGAGCTCTGCTCGGTCTCCGGATTGTCCAAAATTGACCCGAGCCTAACGTCTTCTGTGATGAGGCACGCGTCGCCTTCCAGACTGGGAACTACAAGGCATTGGCTGTGGATAATGCATTCCCAAACTCACACTAATTTCGAGTCCAGTTCTCAGTGGCACAATGGTTCAGTTCTGCCTGCCTTAATTGCTAAACCTTCGCAGGTTGTCTAGCATTGTCAGCCTTTGCCCTCTGCTGTCTAGGCCAGCGGGCTTGTCGGTGCTCTTCGTGGGGAGGAGAACTCTCAGCGCGAGAATCTGCTGCATGCCATCACGCTCATCTCCGACATTATGTATCTGCTCGGAGAGGCGAGAGGGCGCACTGGGACACCGAAAGCAAGATAAATCTAAGACGTTGCCGACAGGTCATGGTTCAATTCCATCGCATCAGTGACGGGCTAGGAGACTATGGCATGATTCGGGTGGCTCCATGGCTACATCCCATCTTGGATTCTCTGCAAGAGAAGGTGCAGCAACTAAAGGCCAGCTTGGAGCAACTCAGCAATTCCCTGGACTCGGCCTACGTATTGGCTCGGGCCCGTGGCCAAAAGATCCAGAAGCCAGCGCCTTCGGAGAAGATGTGCGCTCGTGCCCGAGATGCCATTCAGCGCGCGCTGCTTGGCGGAACAAGCCATGCGAGTCAGCTGCTGCAGCTCGCAGAGGAGCTTCGGGCACGCTCGGCACCAGAGCGCTTGCCTCATCTGGCCAAGGGCCTGGGTGATGCATGCTTAACGTTGAGCGAGGTCCTGGTGTCTGCTGAGTTCAGGCGACACGTTGGGGATTCCTTCCCACAGCTACCTACACTGACGGACTTGGGCTCGGATCCCAAAACACGGACCATCAAGACAGGCATGGCGACGCTGGCCCTGGAAGACTTTAACGTGCAGACCCGCTTCACAGAAAGGCGGCCGGTGCGGGTTCGCACTGAGCCAAAAACTGCCCACATCATGAAGGTGACTCCCTGGACAGATGGAGATGTTCAGGACACAGCATCCACATCAGCTACGCCACGTACGATGGCACGCGAGAATTCTCAGAGTTGCAGCAGCTGCTGCTCAGCTCAGACTGTTGGCATCCCCACAAGTGGCCCGGTGCTGACTTTCGAGGTCAACCGCCTCACATCCTTTGAGCCTCTAAAAAGGCACGACCGCAGACGAATCGAAATTCAACATGACGAGCTCTTGATATACAGCACGGGCTCACAATCCAGAATTAAATCTGCAGTGCAGCTACCCGAAGGGGTGGAGCGTGTGTTCCTCCTGTCCGACACTGTCCTCGAGGCTTGCTTCTCACTCGTCCCGGCGGATGCCGTACCGGGAGGTGGTGTGGTACGGCCAAAAGACTACATCTTCGAGTTTGCTACACCTGAGCAGGCCGACATCTTTTGCGAGGACTGTGTTGCAGACACTCTGGGTTTTCCCTGCGATAGTGGGATGTAGTGACACCGCCACCCGAAAATGGTCTCTTTCATCAGCGTTGAGGGAATGAACTCAATTGCATGGGATCGAGGAGCAGGAGTTCCGTGTGACAGGCGATAGTTTTGGACAGATGCTGCGTTCGATTCAGGACAACAGCGCTGCTTTGTAGATGAGATGCCGACCCTGAGAGAGCTTGAGATGCTGATGTTGCATTACTTACTTATTGTTCGCAACATAATTGAAGTCTTTGGATGGAAATAGCAGCAGCAATTCAGGACAAACGAGGCTTTCATGGACTGGGGCATCGAAACAACCCTCCATGTCAAGGGGACCTAGTATGAGGCTCTCAACCCGAAGCCCAGAACGAGCCGTACAGGAGCTGTGGCATCGGGGAGTCAGATGAGCTGCTGCAGAGCATCTGTCAATGATCGTTTCCCAACTTCCGGATCCGTAGCTGCCCAAGCTAAGCTGCAGCCGATTCAAGTCCTAAGCTTGAATTTGTACCGGAATTTGGGAAACGTTCAGCAATGGCGCCGACGACTGTACAGGCGCTCGGGCCTTTCATGGCAGCTGTGTCTGTTGGTAGGATGATTGTAGGCTATTGAATGCGTTTTTGCCTGTTGGGGTGTTCCGTGCAGGTATATCGCTACGGAGCCATCCTGCGCAGACTGCTGCTGCAGAGCCTTGAGAGAGCTTTGAGGCGGGTGTGTAGGACGCGCTGATCTGCAAAGGGGCCTTTGCAGTTTTGGGGCCTGCCTAGGGCACAAGGTATAACTAGAACTAGAGCCAGGATAGCCCTTGGAGTCTGAGCAGGCCGAAGGAAGACCGCGAAATTAGGGAGGTGTTGTTTTGGTACGCCGGACTCGTTCGGTGTATGGAGGAGCAAGCGCTCGTCTGTAGCCTCAGACTTTACGTGTACAGTGCATGCTTTGCGTTCGACCAGAGCTCAAGAGGCGTTTTATCAGAGCTTTGCAGAAAAGATCTTTACAAACTACCCTACATTACCGATCGCATCCCGCCGGATGTGAACCTGCCAAGGCCATCTTTTGCTTCCATGGTGCGAGATGTCGCCGTAGCTGCTGTAGTGTCTCTATGTCTTTCGAGACCCTTGTCGTAGGAATTTTAGCACTTCTTCCGGCTTCTGCTGCAGATCGATGGGCGCTAGCAGCTCGTGTGCGGAACTCGTCATGCCAACGGGGAAGGATGCCATCAGGCGAGGCTTGGAAACTGAATCACAGGAGACAGCAGGTACATGATAGGTTGCGATCGGTTAAGGCTAACGCCCCAAAACTGGCATAGGGAAGCTGGAGGCAGCTAGAACTCCGGCTCCGGAGAGGAGGTTGGCGGTCCCGTCAGGCCATGGGCCCTCAGCGACGCGAGCTCCGACAGCGAAGTGGAAGGAGCAGAACCACTGCGCTCTTCCCCGTCCCCGGCCTTGCCGGACCCTGCAATCATTAAGCACGTGAGCGTGGAACAGTACCTGGAGCTGGCCCAGCGCCTGCGCATCACCGCCACCGATCGAGACAGACTTGATGGAGAGCTTCAAGCTGCGCGGCGGCAGCTTGAAGAGTCGAGCAGCGCCCACAGCGAGTTGACAAAGCATCACGCGAACGAATCTCGCGATAGGAAGGAGGCAGAGGCGCAGCGAGATCAGCATGCTTCCAACTTGAGCAAAATTCGCAAAAGCTTCGCTGTTGTTAGCGACAGCCAAGAGACATTGAAGGCAGAGTTGGCAAGCGTGAAGGCCAGCGAAAGTCGCCTGCAAAGCATGGTTGAGCGGCACAGGGATCAATTTGCAAAGCTCCGAGCTGAACATGAGAAGCTTGTGAGCCTCATGGCCTTGCAGCGCAAGCAGATGCAAGTGTTAGGAACCTTGTCCTGCCCGCAATGTGCGCTAAAGGCCAGGGAGATCGGAGCAGTACGGGACTTCTTTGAAGAAGCCGGCCAAAGATAAGCTGGCTTCCACAAGCACTGTCGTCGAAGCATTCTGCAGTCAAATGGCAGGGAGTTTGTGGTCCGCTTTAAGAAGCTGGGGCTTGCAGGCCTTGAGCCCTGATTAGAGGGATGTCATGCGAGCCGCCATTCAAGCATCAACTCCGCAATCCCAAAGCTCTTTGGGTACACTGTACACTGTGCCCAGTTCATCGCTGGCTACGGCGGTCTCAAGTTGCGGCAACAGCATGAAGTATCCGAGGCTGCACTGCAGCGATGCACCCACAAGCCACACCTTTGCCTTGAAGAGCATCTGCGGAAAGCCGCTTCCGAACGACGGGTTGTTTCGTGATGCCCACACCGACAGCGGTCCCGGCCGTGTCGCGATGTCGACCAAGTCGCTGGCGCTCACGTCACCCGGAGCAAGTCTAGTTGGGTTCGTTTTTTTGTTCCCAGCAGAGTCTATGGCGTAGACTTTGTGATGGCCAGCGTGCAGAGGCTCACCCGGCCGAAGACCCTGGAGCTCCGATCCGTGTGGCAGGATGAGCGCGGGGCACAGAGCTTGGGTCGGAGTCGCTGCAGCCGCTGCCAGTGTGCTGAGGACTTTGCGATCCGGACAGCTGCTGGTGCCCCACGCTCGACTCCCAGCAAAACCTATTGCTTGGATCAGACTCAGAGGTACAGGTGGAGTACAGCAGCGTCCAGCCCCAGGACGGGGACATGTTTGCTTTGGGCTCAGCATCAGACGTTGCAGAGTTTATTGGGGTTTAGAGCTTTTGCTAGCGAGCCTCCCAACACCTTTAGGTCTAACTAGGCGTTCGACACCTGCACATTACTGCTCGCCCAGAACTGCAGTGGGCGGTTCACTGAGCTCGAGCTGCCACATGTTCTCGGGGTCGAGGGTGCCGCTCGGCAGCACAGCGATGGCTTAAATCTGTGTCTGTAACTGGAAGCGGTTTTCGGCTTCGAGTTCAGTTGCAGAGGGTTTGAGAGCTTCACGGGGCAGTGATGGCAGAGCTTCAACGACCTCATTGCCTCAGGTCGGCGTGGTGCTAAAGTCTCGGTGTGAGACTTTTGAGGAGGGGGCCAGGACTCAAATGCTGAGGGTGTTGAGGCATAGGTCCATGGGTAAAGCTACGGTGGGAATGAAGCTTAGCGCGGCATTGCCGAGGAGTGGTCAGAATCGCTGTCTGTTTCCAATCCGAAACCAAGAAGCAAGACCAGCATCCCCGAGTCAAGCACTGCCATGCCACTCAGGCATGCCGATACAAGACAGTTGTGATTGATTCGAGGGCTGACGATTCCGCAAGTTCAAGAGGGTCTGGGAGTTCGGATTTTTCTGATTTTTGCATTTTAGGGTTCAGATGTTTCTCATCCAAGTTTTGGGTTGCGAGTCTTGCGGTTTAGGGTTTTCACGGTTGCGGTTTTTTAGTGTAACGTGTGATTGTAGGAGTCGTTCGTGTTTTTACAACCCGGTGCGCGAATCCATTGCAAGCGTATCGAAAACTTCCTTGACCTGACAAACAGGCCTATGAAGGATTTGTAACAGCTTTGAAGAAGAGGATCGCCTTCATTTTGAAGAAGTTCTTCAGCGACGAGAGTCTGGAGCTCGGGCTGAGGGCTACGCCTCACAGCACAGAGTCGGAGACAGCACAGTGCTGTTTGCTCGTCTTTCGTCCGCCGCGACTTGAAACCAACTAGTAGTTTCAGGTGCTGGTGACTGCTAGTGTTCCACAGAGCAGGCCATGGCTGCTGGCAGCGCCGGCTCATTCTGGATGAGCACCGGGCAATGATCCTGAGAGCGCCTTGGCGCGCTTCCAGCTCCGTTCGCCCTCCGCCTGGACAGCTAGGATGACAAGATGTAAGCACTGTCGAGTGGGTCACATTGAGTCGTGACATGTCGTGACCGTGTAAGAGCTGCTTGCATCAGGTGCCTGCTGTTGGGGCCACAGCTTTGTGAATCCCTTCGCTGCCGATCAATGCCGTCGGAGCTGTGTTGAGGGTTGCGCTGCAGCTCGTGAATCATGACGCTGAAGAGCCATCCACGCAAGTTTGCACCAGAGCGATCGCTGAGGTCGTTGGTCTGAATCAAGTTGCAGCTTGCACCACATCCACTGCCGGGCTGGCATGGTTAGTCTACACTCTAAGGGTCTGATGGTATTGCTTGTCGTACGTTTCACTGTATTGAAGCGTGCTTGCTGCATGTTAGTGCCCTAGTGCTTTCGTAAATAATCAGGCTGCCGCCCTCGCCTTTCTCAAGTACTTTCCTCCGACATCTCGAATTATCGTGTCTGCACCTCGGGACATTCATTCACAGCCGAGTGCACGAACACATGGTTGCAGCTGGGTTTAAGCAGCTGCCACTGCGTTGGACAAAGCTCAAAGGATTCGGGTCGCTTGCCGAAGCTTCCCGAGCACTGCTTTGCTTCTCGAAGCTCGGAACCGTCAAGTGCACGCTATGTCGCTGCGTTGAGGGCACACGGGTCTGGGTGCCTCGCGATGCGTCTCAGTGCTCAATGCAACCTGTGCAAGACGTGAGCTGCTTTCCCCACTCTCTCGTTCGAGACTGCACGCTACAATACTCTACAAAAGTCGCTTTAGATGGCTCGACGACCGCGGCCAGCCATAACATGACCCAAGGCTCAAATCCGCAGCCTCATGTCACAGAGGACGGCGGCCTGCGGCGCTGTGGGCCTCGCCACGATGCAGCTTGGAGCTCTCCGTGGCCATCAGGCACCTGATGAGCTTAGCTGCTAGCCCCGTCTCGGCATAGGGGGATTATTGTGGGTTGACGGGTCTTGCTTGGCGGTCTTGTTGTGGAGTTGTTCGATCAAGTTTTGCCCGGCAGATGATTGGACTGGTGCGTGGCCCTGAACGGGCTGCGTGGATTGCCAAGGAGCTGAGCTGCTCTGCTCCAACAAAGATCTTCTGGTGTTTTGTCTGTTCCACGACGTGACAGGAGCTCGTAAGGTGTGGTTCCATTACAGCTCGCCCCCTCAGCAATTTTTGCAGTGCCGCAAAGCTCATGCAAACATGAGTCTGGACGAGCGGGGGGCACCTAGGTGGTCGACACCGAGTCACCCGGATGGATCAGGTCCGGGCGAACAATAAACCGGTAGAGGGGGAGTGTTTTTGTTGCTGGCATGTGCGAGGCTCGCCTGTCCTTTGACGGGCAAGGGCGAGTTGGTCGCGCCTAGCCCAGACTCTTGGCCGCACGGCGCCGCACGGGAGTTCACCGGCCTTGGCCTGCGGCCTGGCCCAGACGAAGGACACTGACGCCGGTGCTGGTGCCGACGGGCTCATCGATGGGGTCGGTGGCGAAGTGTGAAGACCTCAGCTTCCCAGCGCCGGCAAGGAAGCCTCGATGCTGTGTGCGATTCGTCCAGGCTGACTTTGGCCATGGAGGAGCATGGAGCGAATTTCTTCCCATTCTGACTGGAACCCGCGAAGCCCTACAGAAGGCTCTGAAATGTTCTGAATGAATGAGGGTAACCAGCTTCAAGCCTGGACCGTGTAGAAGCTGTTAGCATGCAGCGCCGAGAAGATAGTTTTAAGCTTCCGTGGTAGAAGAACACAACTATCGCGACCTATTCGTTATCTTGTCTCCCCGTGAAGAATTTCATGAAAATGAAGCTGGGACTTTACTACCGATTCATAGAGAGCGTCAACTTGCGTGGTGCACGCCAACTTCGAACCCGTCTCCAGAATCGTGCAAACGCCCTTTGAAGCAGTGAACCTGGCAGCTGTGTGGGCCCGGGTAGGCCAAGCCTCACCTCTGGAAGAGTCTTCCGTAAGTCCCCACCTGCCAACAGAGCCAGCCCAGTTTGTCGCACCAAGCTGTCCGGTAAGAAGCTTAGCAAAGCATTCCTGCAAGGAGCTTCTCCGGGTGCGTGCCATCGTCGTTCGGTGCTCCGGGTGTCACGAAACAGAAGCGGTTGTGGCCTAGCCCAAGGAAGATCGGTTAGGACTCAGATGCATTGGAACGGAAAGCATGCTTCAGGAAAGCTGGCAGATCCTCATAGTAGTAGTGGCCACCGCCGGTCAGAACCAGAGTGACCCATAGTTTCCTTAAGGCACAGTTAGACCTGTTATGGCCGAGCAGCCGGCAAAATCGAGACTCGATAGAACGAAGGGCACACTGTCAATGTGAAGGCGATCCAATTACTAACCAACTGCGACCACTATATCAAGCAGCAAGCTGCCGGTAATGCAACAGTGTATGCCAGCTGCAGATCGCCCAAGCGTTGATGGCACACTTTTTTCAAGTGAAAGCGACAGTTTTGACAGATTGAAGCGCACAGTATGTGATTTTCAGTCAGCAGAACGGTGCAAACTATCGAGCCGCAGAGGTACAGCGCTGTTTTGGAGGAGGATGCGGCGCGAGTCGATGCCGCACAGCAAAAGCACCGGCTTCTGGTGCCTTGTCCGTGCGATCTCAAAGCGCACAGAGTAATTTGTTCAAGCTCTACCAACTCTACTTATCCTGCAAGACGCACAGGTGAAGGAGGGCAGCGTAGAGGATTTTATGGCTTCCCTCGATGCGATCCAGCAAGTTGAGGCTGGGCTCTTTAGAAAGCGCAGCTGGATCATCTCCATCTGGCTAAGAAAGGGTGCATGTGCACAGCGGTAGTCTACCCGCGAGCTCCTCCGAGCCGGTGCATGTGCGCTAAGCAGTCCTCTCGGGTAGGCCGCTTTTGCCCTCATCGCGGATGCGAGGCGACGATGCTAAGGAAAGTCTCATCTAGCGGAATCTAGCGGCTTGGAAGCGGTGTGCATCAGTGCATCTCGGGTGCGAGGTATCGGCCGAAGGCCTGGCACGTGGCCAGCGTGAAGGAGGTTGTGGAATGCATGAAGGAGTCCATACTTTCAGGGTTGCAACTACTATACAACCCTTTGCTGCCCACATCACAGGACCAGCCAATTTGGACCCGCCATGCGCGGGAGGCCCCAGAGACCAGTCGCTGAAAGATCGGCGGGACAAATGCAGCTCTCGAAATGTCAATCGCATTTTCGTGTTTGTTCGTTGTTGCGCCGCTCTCCAAGGACGCAGGTCAAGCCCGGCCGAATTGGTCGGATCATATGGAAGTTCGAGTGACCGCTCCTTCCCAGGTTGTGAGATTCCCGCGAGAGAGGGATAAGTGCGAGGACTGCGTGGCCAAAGGCCAGGTAACGCAGAGGAGGAGGAAGGCTGTGGCTTCTGTGCTGAAACATGGCACGGATCACAGATCTATCCCACTTGCACTGCACGTGATCAAAAAGGTCGTGCCTTGCCCAGCTTTCGACGGAAGGGCCGGGCAGGGTGTGCAGACATTACGATAGCACGGGGCACTGTTGGAGATGATGTGCACTGTCTGTGCTGGAGACGTTATTTCAAGTTGTGAACAGGATAGTATGTGGTAAGGTCAGGGAACACTCATTTTAGAAGACCGACGATCGTGTATTAATTATAGCAAGAAGCTGCAGGACCTGCAAGGACTGGTAGAATGGCTCGCTGGGGGCCTGGCTGCCGCGGCCCAGGGAGACCATGTACGCCCGCGCCAAGCTGCCGGCTTTTTCTGCTTGGGAGGCAAGGACCGAGAAAACGGTCTTAAACGGTGCCCTGAACCCAAAGATCTTGGTGGGCCTTGCGGTGGCTTCAGACAGTCAGACAGTCAGACACTCCTGCAGGCCGTGCTGTCTGGTGCGCAGGTGCGGGTGCTCCAAGGGAAGTTGCATGTAGTTTCCAGACCCGACATCTCGAAGCTGTTCTCGTAAACGCGGAGTGATACATGCACGCTGCGGTGATGTTTGTGGCATCTCGTAGAGACGTAGACATTTGCATGGCCGCTGTGGCCCCGAGAGTTGGATGGGAGTGACGTGTGGGAGTACGATCGTCCTGTGAACACTCTGGAAGCCTTCGTCCAACGTTTCGCTGCTTAGTTACGAGCCTGTGTTGGATTCAAGCCCCATCTTACAGCCATCCCCTTTCCCGGAGGGGAGCAGACTGGCCTCGGCGGCACTCAGCGTTTTCGGCTTCGGCCACAACCCGTGAAGACCCGAGCTTCATAGTTTCACACAGGAAGATGCGTGGGATCTGAAAGTGCCATGACTGCCGAGGTCATTCTGGATGGGAGCGTTCGAAGAGGTCCAGAGCTCGAGGACATGTTCTGTGCTAGACTGCACCACGAGGAAGCAGGTGCGAATCGCAACTGAGCTGCAGGCCAACACACTTCTTGATCGATACGCGCAGCAGGTCTTCTGGCTCCACGCCACCAGGTCTCCGCTTAGAGCCTTTAACATCTCGGTGATACGATGACGGATGACGTTTGTTGCCTTGGAGATTGGAAGCGGGCATCTGCGTAGTGCCAGACCACAGAGTTTTGACGGCCATCGGATCACAAAGGGCCACGACTCCGTAGCATACATGGGATGTGAGTTCTGCCCAGACATGACATGGCCTTTTCTGGGCTAGGCTTGGCCACACTGATGCGAGCGTGCGCGCCTTCGGGCGGACGGCAGGTGCGGAATACTGGGTGCAGCGAAGGCCGGAGTTGCAAGGAGTCGCGGCAAGGGCCATTTGATATTCATACTTTCGATCGGGAGAGTCATCGGAAGCAGCAGAAGACGGCACCGACTCGGAGACGAATTGAAGTAAGCGGCTATTACTTGCAAAATGGAATCTGAAGTCGCAACGAAGACCAAGTCGAGCCAAGAACTCTACTGCATGCTGCATTCTAGGTTCGGCCTGTTGTTCTCAGTCGGCTTTATGCAGCACTCAAAAGAGGCGTGCCTGAAGCAGAACTATCATATCTTTGCAGCTGCAAACGAAACCACGCTGACCCACGGCGCAGCTGACAGGGGCCCTGAGCAGCCACCGCACGAGCGAGGGATGGATTGGCACTTTGACAAGGCCGCCGAGAGCATGAGTAGTCAGGAAGCCTATCGTCAGAAGCTAGGAGCGACAGGGCAGTCCCTGCATGGATTCAATTGATAGACTATATGGTCGAAGTTGGCAGGCGCGAAGCCGTTCAGATCGAATTCATCTAGCCTGATCCTGCGGACAAGTCCAGGACGAGGACTTGCTTGACCAGAAGGATGTCGTGGTAATGCCGACGGTGGGAACCGTGACCTACTTGAGTAGTGTCGGTGCACCGCTTGTCGTCACTGCCTCAGAGGCCTCCAGTGCCAGCTGCTCCAGCTGGAAAGTCAGCACTGGACATTTTCATTCGCGGAGCATGCAAGGTTCTGTCGCAGCCGATGCTGGATGGACGCGGTTTTCTGCTGCCATTTTCGGCCAGTCAGGCAGGGAGAGACTTGGGGCATTTTGTCTGTGGTCAGCAGGATGTGGTGAAACCATGCTGGGAGTGGCATCTTTCATGTTGCCCTGCACTTCTCCATCAGGTCACTATGTTCCTCACCCGTCCCGTCTTCGGCAGGCACGTGGCTCGGCGGCAGTGTGCACAAACATCGCCGAATAAATCCAAGTGCAACTCTGGAGGTGGCCTTCGATGGTCAACTGCTTCACGGATGTCCAGTGGCTCTTGCTGAAGCAGGTGAGAGGCTGGTCTGTCCGAGCTGCAGGGAACACATCCTGCGGTTTTAACGATAGCTCGCGGTTATGGCCGCCTCACCAAATGGCAACTGGTGCCCGACATTCTACAGGACCTGGCCGTAAACCCAAAAATCCCGGCTCTCTGCTCAGACTGTCTCTGGTCGTGAATATCTGGTTTGAGCACAAACCGCTCGGAGTGGTGACCTCAGATGTTCAAGGGTTGCTCCTTCCGGGCTTCAGACTGTTGAGTGAGCTGCGCGACATCGCGACATGCACACGTGCGGAATCATATGCCTCATGCCTCTTCACAAGGTATCCGCGACAGGCCCAGGAAGCTCGAATTCCAAGCTGCCAGTCGAGGCCGAGGCACATCTCAGCGAGACTTGAATCGACTTGCACGTCTCGTCTCACATGTTGTGGTGTGTTTTCCGTGTCAGCGTCAGGACTTCTTTTCGACGGCTACACCTCTGAGACCAATCGACCAAGAGGCCGGTATGCAAAGGATCCGGACGTTGTTGGAATCTTTCTAGGTTTGATGAGATGCTGAGGTATGTAGTAAGAAGTCTTCGTCTGAGGATGGTCCGCTGGTAGCGCTTCCGTGTTGGGTAGGCCTCGCTCTATATGCAACATGCATCGCCGAATCCGCAAACAACTTGGCCGAAGTCGGAAGGCCCAAAAGTGAAGCCGACCAAAACAATGGGGATAAGACCCAACCCAAATCTACAGCAATACAACAAGAACTCCAAGCCGGCCCTACGGCCCAAAGAACGATGCCTGGACTGGACGCTTTCGCCTGAATAGCTGGCACAAGGCAATGCCTGATAGCATACAGTTTACGAAGCATCTCAAAATCGCAACATGCAGTGTATGGTTATTACAGCATACACTGTTCAGTCTCAGTTCATACTCTAAAAAACAGGGTGCATAACGCACGATGTCACGACGCAGAACTGTTCGGACACATGATAGCACAGCACACAACACGAATATGTTTTACTTGTAGCACAAAGCCATGGAATCCGTGGCATTATGACATGCGATAGAACGCCATGAACTGTGGCGACTCAAAGCTGCAGAAACGGGGCGGAGACCAGCAGTGCAGAGTGCTGCGACACAGTGGGAGACCACGGTACCAATGCAGCCCAAGATAGACAAATCCAGTTGAACAAATGCTTTTTTGGGTTAATGAACAGAGCGTGAACCATTGTGCATTCCAGGAAGCAACATCTCGACACCCAAGCAAAACAATACTTAATACTTCTGTATTGGCAGCTAGTCTGACGTGCACGCACGCACACACACATGCTGAGACGCAAGAACATACGTAGTGTGTAGTAGTTGCACCCGTCTTCGGAGAGTGATTTGAAACGCATGAAACGCTATGCCCAAACGCATAATGCGTGCCCATGTTTTGTCGCTCAATCGACGTTATACTAAAGCCTCTGTACATGCTATTAGGTCACATGCCAATACGAGTATCAAGATGAAGCAAGAACAAAGACGACTGGCAAGCAGCGATGAGCGACCATGCATGATGGGAAACTTGCGGTGATAGTGCACAGCTGCGCATGAGCTTGCGAAGGTGCCTGGATCTGGCAAGAAACTCACAGTCGACTTTGGACCTTGGCGTGTCCTTCGACTTAGCTTGATTTTGGCTTCGGGGTTTCCGACCGTTCATGTGCGGATGTATTTGGTTGACCTTTTGCTTCAATGCTTCCCAGGTTCCAACGTTCCGGGGATTGTGATTCTGACTATCCAGAGCAGTGACAGTGAAGGTTCAATTGAAAATGGGGTCGAAGGCTCTTACCTCGTATGTGAGGTTTCACACGTTATTCTAGTTTTTGTTCATTGGGACAAAATTTCTTTCCGTGCTGCGCACCTCAGATCTCTGGCTTGCGGATACCCCCGGATGTGCAGGCGCCTTGGAGCGGGACATAAGTTGAAAAATCAAGTGTACCCTCCTTCGTCATGTAGCTGCAGAAAGTGTGAACAGCCATGCATCAGCTGCTTAGCGTAGCTTAGCAACCTCCTGTGTGGCCACAATTGTTTTCGGCACATACCCATATTCACCCCAACACCTTCAGCTTGAGAAAAGCTTTCACTTTCAGGCACCAGAGGGCTCAAGCCTTTGGGCCATCCACCATCCGGTGGATCAGGCAGCATCTTCTACATAAATTCCGCTGTTGCTCGGAAACTGCAGCAGTCAGTGCCGCGATGTTGAAAGAATGTTCGGTCCCAGGTGCAATGTTCAAGACATTTCCTGCCTGGGTTGCGGAGGTCCACATCGGCCTGCCCGTGACGAGTGGAACAAGGCCAGGCCGCAGGTATGGTGTGCAAGCAGGAAGGATTGCACCGCAAGATTTCTGGCTTCGTGGGCACTTGTGTAGACACAAGTCTCCATGCCCTATTCTTTTGTGCCGAACTATCACCATGCCTTTGGGTGTCAAAGCACGTTTTGGCAGTCTAGAACCGGGTAGCTCACCTATTCATACTCTGGACCCAGGCCTGTGATTCGATGCTAGCCCCTGCACTTCAGCGTCTTGCTCGGTTGTAACCTACCAAGA